TTTACATCCGTAAACTAGTTCACGACCATGAATACCAACTCAACTGCAAATAGACACAAACACATATATTATAAGATCAGGACCCTATAAGACATATACAAATGATTGCCTAGCCCAAACCACTAATTTATGACCTATCACCCTCTGTTCGGGTCGTTCCTCCTGACCACTTGGGGTTCAACTTGACTCAAAGTACAACAGTAATTCCTCTCCTATGACAGCTCTTTATTTAGTTCGGGCTGCAAAATAGGCACAATAGGTTCATCCTTATTATGTTGAATTACAAGCCTTGTCTCCTCCATCTAATGATCCAATATCATTTGTATCATTACATGTACTCCTATCATTGTGATTGGATCGGATGCAACTGCTACCTCTGGTGCACACTTAATCACTTGTAGCTCAGGCTGCTGGTTACCGTTTCCCAATCTGCTTCGAGTTCTGACTATGTCGATCTATACACTAAATCAGACGTTCAGTGTGCACTGACGAGAATTAAGATATGGAAATCTTTATTTACAATAGACATACAAATCCCCATATCATTTCAAAAAGTTACATGCAAGCTTTAATACAGTAATTAAATGTTCAGAAATCTGAACACATAAATTTTCCAGATACGGTCGACAACAAACCATATAGCCAATCAAACAATAACATCATAAAGCATATAAGGCATATTATAGCACAAATCATTTAGCATATAAATGAAATTTAGGCATCTTCCCTAAATAAGCTAGTGATCGGGTCTATTCAAGCATGCATCCTAAATATAGCAGACACTAATCTCACAATCATCACTTAGCATTCTAAGTTGATGTCTAGATACTTTCCTAATATCCCTAGTTCGCTTAAACTAATGCTCTGATACCAACTGTGACATCCCCAAATTCATGGTCAATTTAAAATTTTTATTTATGCTTATTTTAAAATCAGAGTATCCTTTTTGAAGAATAGAATTACGGAATTTGTTCGCAGAAAACATGATGATAAAGATATTATCAAAGCATTTCCAAAGAAATGTATTTTATTTATATTAAAATATTTGGATGTCATCATAAATACAGAAACATAAGCATAACGAAATATTAGAAGCCTTACAGTAATTAAACTAGTGGCTTAGTACTCCTTGAATCTGTCATCAGGATATATCTTTCTTATAGCTACATGTGATACAATAAACTAAGTGGGTCAGGTTGGGAAACTTGGTGAGTACATAGGAATTTCAATCCAACAATGTTATATATGTGTATATATATATATATATATATATATATATATATATATATATATATATATATATTAGAACTTGCAATATACAATTTCACCTCATATAAGCAATATCATCCCACCTCATCGATCCTTATAATGACACGATCCATACTCTTGGATCTAAAGTTAACAGCTTTACCTAATCCGTATTCCCAGATCAGGTGTGTCTAATCCATGCTTTTGGATCAATGAGAAATAATTATTGCCATTCCATACTCTCGTATTTGGGATGAATAACTACGTCTAATCCATTCTCTCGGATCAATGACAATTTTAAACTTTTACTCTCTGTGTATATCTCACTCGTACTCATAAGAAGATACTACCCAATATTCCTCTTAACACATATTTAAGGCAATATCAAATATTTCACACATAAAGATATACTTAATTCCTTAGTTAATACTTGTATTAAAATCATGTTCGTGAAAGGGACTATGCACTGACTTGATAAAGTGACGACTCGAAACTCAGATAATGCTTTGCTTCTTGCAATTTCCCTTTCCTTTAATGAAACGTAGTATTATAATCACTACATTTTAGTATAATATTTATTATGACTAATTATTAGTCTACATTCATCATTAACTCAAAGTCTACTTTCATGATATATCAAGTAAGGAAAAACCATGTAGCATCATATTGGAGGTAGGGTCCCTTTGGTAAACGAAGTATACTATTTGCAAATCATACTTTAAGCACCTCACTAAATCACAGCCTAGATATCATCCCTATAAGTAGATCAATTAGCATAATGACTTGGAATCACTAAAAAGTCTTGTTTATAGGTTCATAATACGATAATGAACTTAAACATAAATGATACTTAAAGTATGGTGAGCATGACTCGCTTACAAGAGGGTTTAGCAAGGAACCGGGCTCTGCACGAGCAGAAATTTTGATCCTAAAGCTCTTCTTCTTAGTGCCTTCTAGCACTCAAGACTTGCTACTAACACCTAGAGGTGCTAGAGAAAGGCTTAGAGGGTTTCAGGGTGTTTCGGAGAGAATAGGTGAGAAATGTGTGAACAATGGATTCATATGCGCCTTCTATTTATAGGATGTCTGAAGGAAAAATGTGAGGCATTGAACAGCAAAAGGTTGGGTGTTCGCATGCCACATGTCGCCATCTCGTTCCAAGTCGTGGGGAACAAGGTGCAGCCCAGATGGCGCCATGTGTCACTCGTAGATTTAGCCCAAAATTAATTATCTTCTAAAATTCGTAACTTTCGTATACAAGCTCCGTTTTTGAATTTCTTTATATCCACGTGTAGGTATCGACGGGATCTACAACTTTCATTTGGACTCCGTCGGCTAATTTTGTATTCATTTTTAAAGTTATATTTCAACAGGCATAGACAGTTAAAGTCCGTTAAAAACTGATATCTTTGTCATCCGATGTCCGTTTTGGACAACCTTTATATCGTTGAGCTCCTATTAACGAGATCTTCGATTCTCGTTTAGGTTGTGTTGCCTAAAAATCGATGGATCTAAAATTCGATTTTCAGGTTGTATATTGTCATGCAAAACTTAGAAAAATCATAACTTCTTCAAATGAAGACAGGTAGTTGAAGTGTTTAATCGAGTACAAGCAACAAATCAGAGAAAAATAATGTAATATGAACACACGAAGTAAACAAGATCTGGTTCAGCTCATATTACTTTCAAAGAACGTGAGTACAAAACTGATAGTAAAATGTGTGGAAACTCTCTGGTATCAACTCTATGTTCACCTCCTATTTATAGGAGAGTGAAAGTATAAAAAATACTAAGGCTAAACATTTAAGCTTTGATAAAAAGATGCCTTAGCAAATACATAGAAATCATACGAAATAGACAAATACACAGGCTTAAACATATTACAAGACGATTCGACCCTACAATCTCCCCCTTTGTAATCATGTCGAACTTCTCAATTTGTGAGAATATGTGCAACAAAATGTATCATTCTTCGAATCTCTGAATACCATGTCAAAATTTTCTTTAACTCCTTTTTATCCCCCTAACTATTCTTCAAGCAGTTATTCATACAAACAATGAAGTTCATATAGTGGGAAGTAGTATATCTTTCCACTTTACATGCTTGAAATAAAAACCTCTTAGCTTTCCCATTCTTGTCTTTTCCAGCAAAGACCAATCCAAAAGGTTTCAAACATATCTCCCCATCAGCATATTTCTTCAGTTCAGCTTGGGTCTTCGTAGCTTCCATTGCAACATTCACTTCCTTACCCAAAGCTGATGTTAATTCCACATCTGTCAAATCTAGACAATCATAGTAATTGTCTATGAAGATTTTAATATGACCAAGACCAAGCCTCAAAACATCTTTATCAGTCCCTTGAAGTTGTGAAGCCTTTATGTCTTTCAAAATTAATGCAACTTGAATCAGGTCATTGAAGTTCATTAATGGAAAATCAGCAACTGAGAAATCACATACTTGATTGTTCGCCCTTACAACATGATACCGAAAATTTTGTATCATATTCTCGAACAAGACATCTTTCGTTATGTTGATCGCCTTCTTCATCTTCACCAATGACCATATATCTTCTAGTTCTTTTCCAACAACTAAATGAAACCTAAGTTTCATATGAATATAATAATCTTCATTGTCGAACTTCTTAATGATTTTGCACTAAGCCATGATGAACATCATTTCGTTTACTGCAAAATCAAGTTGGTCATATCAGTGTTAATGATAGAATAGCTTTTCTTTGGCTTTTTCTCAAATTCATACATATGATTGTAAGAAACTCTTGCTTCAATACTCTCATAGCTGTACACCTTCTTCGGATATCCCTTATCCATACCAGGTGGATCATTTTTACGAAGTACTAATATGCGTTGTATCTTCCTTTGTTTATCCGTTTTAGCTTCAACTTTGGCCTTCAATTCTTCTTTTGATTTTTCAGCCAAAATCCCTTCCCTTTTCCATCATCTTCAGAAGGTTTTGGTTTCAAAGAACCTGAACTTCCTCCTTCAGTAGAAGCACCAATAACAATTCCTTTCAAAATAGGTCTTGTTGTTGTCTTGATGTCTTCTGTTGTATTCACCTTTGAAACTATAGGCATTGGAATTTGAGTAGATACAACTTTTGCTACTTCAGCAGTGGTTACAACCTTCGTTACTTCACCCTTGGTTATAATCTTCTCAATATTTTTCATCATTTCAACACCTTGAATTTTCTTTTCTCCCCCTTGTACCCCTGTGACAACAAGAGGGACATTCAAAGGTAAAATATTGAGAATTCAAGACAACGGTGCTAACTGCTTTTGAAGAACTAATTCAAACAACAGAAATGTCTGAGATAGAAATTCTGGTGTGATTAGAGGAGATGACCTTGGCTTTGAGATTAATGCTTTCAATTCATTTAGCAAAGTGGTGATCTCCATGAAGCTTTTACTATCATTAGAAGATAGTTGAGTGATTTGAGAACTTAAAGCTTCATACAGTTTGACAAACTTCGTAACCACATCTGCAATAATATCCATCTTCTGATTAAGAGACACATAGTCTTGTTGTGCAACAGTAATTTCTTTGTGCATATCTTCACGAAGCTCCTAAATTTTTTGATTAACATCCTCCCTTACCTTTTTCACATCTTGCACAAACAATACATGTCTTTCTTTAGCAACCCTCTTGAAATCTCGAACTTTTGCATTAAAATTTGAAGATTGAGCCTTGTCCCTAAGCTCATTCGTATTGTAATTGCTATCCACCTTCTCAACGTTTCAAGATTTAGAAGCACTAAGCAAAGTAGAAAATTTATTGAACAATCGAGCTTCTTGTGCTTTTAACATGACATCCACTTCAATACTAGACAGTGAACTGCTTCCCCATGCATCTGCTTGGTATTGAATAATCAAAATGAGCTTTTTGTTCAGAATCTTAAATTGTTTTCCTGACATCAACATGTGATTAGGAATGCCTTCTTCTTGTAGATCAAACTCAAGTTCATCAAACGTTCCTCCAAATCCGCCATCATCATTGTCATTATCATCAACTGATTCTGGTGGATCAGTAGATATCACACCCTGCTAAAGCGAAACGCAAGATATGGCAGCGATAATGGTTTCATTGCAAAAGATAAAGATACATCACCATAGTAGTATTTAAAAGTTTACAACCCATAACTTCAAAAGAAACAAAATACATGTTTTTCCAAAATAACATTGTTCAAAGATAATTTCATAAATAACTTCAACACAATGCAGCATGCTCTATGATGATGAATCTTAATATCCACTTACTAATTATTTCCTGAAAAAGCATGTAAAACGAGCGTCAACTATGAAAATAGTTGGTGAGTTCACAAGTTTATAAAATCGAGCTTGAATAAGGCTTTTCGTAAATACAAGTACATTGGTTTAATGAGAAACAAAGTTGATTGCTATTAATGAATACAAGTTTATTTCTATAACGTGATACGAGTTTGTATGTTTATGAGCAAACAATGAGTCTCAACCAAACCTATGACTGAAGCCCTATCAAGATCTATGCTTATCATTCCATAGATGAATATGGTATCATGCACTCCAGCAATAGGGCGAGTGAGGAGTTGTCAATTCCTAATAGCGCTATCCATAATGACCATTGGCTCAAAGAGTTAATGGTTAGAGATAAGGGAAGGGCCTTAGTATGATAAGTTCTCATGTTCTGTGTTGCATAGACATACATAGAGAGATATAGCAATACAATAGCAATCATGTTTGATACAAATCAATTTAAATACAACATGCAAATAATAGTTTTTCTGGACATGCTTTTCCACCCCAAAACATAAAAACTGAAAACAGGGGAGTGTGTGAATAATCACAATGTTTCGAGTAGATACAAGGAGTGCCTCGGAATACACCAACGTCTTAATACCGGGATCCTACGACATCAAACACACACTAGTGAGTTTCCATGTCGAAATCTAATTGTAATATACTAAACTCTACATATAGTGAAATGCCAATTTATGTTCTAATATTGGATTTTATATTGCTTGGTTACACTTTTTCTGAAATGATGAAATTCTACAAGTTATGCGATTAATACAACTTTGGGATATTAATTTTCCAGATTTAATATTATAAATTTTAAGAGTGTTTCAACACATTTAAAGGTGTTTTATATTCCTAAAAATGTAAAATATTATCCAACAGTTTCCAAAAATTGTCAAACCTTGTATTTTCCTTCTAAATACAATAGAGGTTTTCTAGAAAATTTTCCTTGAATTTTTGATATGGTTAACTGTTTTCCAAATTTTTAAGCCTTTATAACAACATAAATACACGAAAAATAGCATTCAAAGGATAAAAATTCTCAAACTTTTTATTTTACTGTTATTACACATTACTAAGCTGCGAAAAATATAAAAATATAATGGATTTCCAAGCTATTTGATTATATTTTATGATTTTTGAGCATTTATTCCAATAAAAATTGGAATAAATAGAAAACAGTTTCCAAAATTACCCAAACTTTTTATTTAACTGTTATTATACATAACTATGCTATGAAAAATATAAAAGATATTTTTCAGTGGGTATTTCTATTTTTCCTTGTTTTATCCACTTAAATAATCATTAATTGAAGAATAAATAATAAACAGTTAAAATAAATTACCAAAAATTTTTGTAACATCATTTACAGTGTAAGTAATCTGGGAAAAATACCAAAAGTGGTTTTCATATTGTATAATCCGGTTATTGGGTATTTATGTATATTTAAGTGTATTTAACGTTAGAAAATAGGAGAAAAATAGTTTACAGTAGAGAAAAATCATCAAAACTTGTATGTAACCTCCTACTGTACAACATGATATTCTGGTAAAATTTCATGAATTTTGGATAATCAGAACTATTTTTCCTATTTTTAGGCCATTATAATTACCAAAAATTGGGTAAAATAGGAAGGCATGTGTTGACGTATGTTGTAAAAGTCGAATAGAGTGTTTTGTATAGTCTCGCATTTTATGTTATTTTACTAAGTCATCTTTTGTGCGAAGTTAAAATGTATAGACTTAGTATATTTTTTGTTGTTCCCTATAAATAGGGACTTAGGCTAGAAGTTGTAGTACGATGCCAGAACTCACTTCTGCTTAACATTGTAATAAGTCTTTATCAATATAAGATCTGATTAATATTTACTCTCCGTGTTATTCATCTTAATCATTCAAATCTATCTTTTCTTTTCTAAATTCTCGATAACAATTCTCATGAATTGGTATCAGAGCAGGATTCAAACTGCTTAGATCTGATTTTCGTATAAGAATCATTTGTTTTTTGAGTTACAAATTTACTCAAAATATTCCGCACATTTTTGGTTTTGAAAATCACTTTTGATCTTCAGATTTGAATTGATTCTGCATTTGAATTGTTAAATCGAGTAATCGATTAGTGATTTGTGATCAATTCGTTTGATAAATTCTGAAATTCATCAAGGTTTCAAGTTTTCAGATATTTTCTGTGTTCATCAATGGCGAACTTCAACACGAATTCAATGACTTCTTTCTCTCACTTGCTTGGTTCCTCAACCAAAATTCCGATGTTAATTCCAGAATACTATGATCAGTGGGCTGATATAATGGAAGATTACTTAAATGGAATTGATAAAGAACTTTGGAAGTGTATCGAAGGAACAGCACTAGCTCCTGCTAATGCTCAACCAATTGGATCATCAACTGCATCTACTGATGTTGAAGAACAACGCAATCGATTGAAGAAAAATGAAAAGAGATGCATGAGAGAACTAAGAGGTGCTCTACCTCCTGTGGTTTACAATTACATTCGTAGTTGTAAAACAGCAAAAGAGATCTGGAATACTCTAAAAGAAAAATATCAAGGTAGTGAAAAGACGAAGATCAACTCTGTGAAGCAGTGTCTAGTTGAACTGAAGGAATTCAGACAAAAGGATACAGAATCTCTCGAAAGTTGTTATGATCGTCTGAATGAGCTTATGTTTCGCTGCAATAGGTAGGGAATTACTAGATCTACCATGGAGTTCAATTTAACTTTCATTATGAGTCTTCGCAAGGAATGGCGCGGTGTGAGCATGATGATAAAGAATCAACAATGTTTTGATACAACTACATTGAATGATCTTTACAATCAACTGAAAACACATGAATGTGAGGTCACAAAAATGTATGAAGAATCAAAACAAGCTATTGGTGGTCCTTTGGCTCTTGTTTCAAAAGTAACAGAAACTGATGAAAAAGATGGTTCAGATGTAGAAGGATTTTTGATGAACTCCGATGATGAAGCAGTAGCATACTATTCAAACAACAAAGTTAAAAAGTTTTTCAAAAAGCCTTTTAATCCAAAAGGAAAGAATAGTGATGTGAAAAATGATGTAACAAGAACTGGAGGAGAAGAGAAGAAGAAAATGGAGAAAACAGATGGAAAACAGAAAAATGCGAATGAAGAGAAAAAGTTGAAGGGTGATTCAGGAATTTATTGCCACTACTGCAATGGTGCGAATCATTTCGCAGCTGATTGCATGTTGCGAAAGAAAGAAGAAAAGAAAGAAAAAGTCAAAGATGAAGCTTACTATTCTGAAAAGATTGAAGAATTACGTGCAAAGAACAAAGGAGTGTCTTTGGTTGCTAAGGGAGAATCTGATGAAGAAGAAAGTGGAACGTATCAGATCTGGTCTTCAGGATCTGATGATGAAGAAATGAGACATCCCACATATGGAGCAATGTTCGCAAGCTTTGAGGAATGCGAAGAGAACATTTCAGGGAAATTTTTTATGTCTAAATCCACTGACAAATCTCCCATGACAACCAAGGTACGTGCAATTCTTGAATCTTTTAATATTCCTTTATATGCTTATGATGCTGAAATTGTTTCGTTTGATGATATTGTGGCTTATTTTGATTCTGTTATTGTGTCTGCAATAATGAAGCTAAGAAATTAAATGTGCAACTTAGTGAGACACGAAGGGATTTAGAAATAAAGAAGAGCAGAGTTGAAAAATTAGAAATGCAAATCAAAAATATAGATTGTGATAGGAATAATCTTTCTAATGATGTTAGATTGTTACTAGCACAAAGAAACATCTATTGTAATTCAGCAAAAAGATTGTATGCAAAATTAACAGCTTTACATCATTCTTCTGATATTAGCAAAGAACAACATAGGAAACTTTTACCTTTTCTTGAGTATGAGCGTGAAAAAGTTGATGTTGTTTCTTATGATTGCGAAAGTACAATTGCTCAATTTGACAAAATACCTGATGATAGATATTCATATGGTATTGTCAAAATTGATGAATTTCTGAATGCTGATGAGTTGGTTGACATTGTAAATGAAAGTTTGACAAAAAGTGAACAAGTGAAAATCTTAAAGAAAACCGAAAATTCAACTCTTACTTCGCAATTCAATTATGCTGATATTGATGAAAATTCTGATAATGTGAGTGAAATCAGTGAAATTGAAGAAGAAGAAGAAGAGATTGATTGTTCTCAATTGTCAATCGTTAATATCACATCTAAGATCAAAGGTAAAGAAATAATAGTTGATTCAATAGTAGAGGATAAAGTTGATAAATCTTCAACTTCGCAACATTGTAAGTTTGATAATGTGGAAGTTGAAAGCTGGAAATCTGATGATACTAATGAAAATAAAGAAGAAAATAAAAATTCAACTAAAACACATCAAAGGGTTGTGGTTGATCAAGTGTTTGAAAACACAAAAGAAATTGACAAAATTTTAAATGACAAAGGCACACATTATTTGGAAACCAACACAGTGGTATATCCAAATTTTGTATGTACTGATAAAACTATTTTTCCAAATCAAGTTTTTGTCACTACTGGAAATGCTGAGAAAGTTCATCCTGAGTTCAATAAATTGATTGAAAAAGATAATCAAAAGTCAACACCTGAAGGTTTCTTCGCATATCAAAACACAGTAGAAAACAATTTAACTCAAAATTCTTATGTGTTTCAAAAACAAAAATCATTACAAAAATGGGTGGTTAAAGGTGAAAAATCAAACAAACCTTTTGAAAAAGTTGAAAACTCAAAGGTTGAAGTCAAATTAAATTCTCAAGAATTCAAATTGATGGTTGGAAATTATTCAATAGAAAATAATGTTTCAAAAAGACAAGCA